ATATAGCTATTTGGAATTCTCTTGAAGAGGCAAAGAAATAATGTCAAATGTGCTGTGAATATTTTCTATGTCTGTAATTTACAAATAGATTGAAATAATTTTACGTCCATGTATTACTTTTATGATGATCTGTACCTACAACAAATAATTAAATTTGCCTAGTATACTAGTCTTCATCTAATTATAAGTACCTAAAAAATCTAATTATAAGTACCTAAAAAATCTAATTACAAAATCTGATCATTGCATTGATAGTGGTAAAAGCATCATTTTCCTTAATGCTGCAGAATTTTTGCTTTCCAAATTTGTGAAGCATTGGCCTTGAATTCTAGGTTAAAGAGAACTACAAAATCTAGAGCTGCGTGAACAATTTCTCTTAGAAAGATCAGCACAAGGCCGGTCCCCATGAGATGGAGGTCAAAGATGTCCCAAATGTCCAAACTACCATGCCACTCCATCATTTCAGACATTAACTCCTCCTCCTCCCAATAATTTCCCCAGTCTTAGGGTTCTGTATTTCACTGTAATGCCTCACAGAACTCACAGACACCCAAGGGTTCGTCTCACGTTGTAGTGGTGGAGGCTGGCAGGGTGGCGAGTCCCGGGTCCGTGAGTAGGTCTGGCAGATCCTCCCAACTCTCGGGGTTTGATGAACCTTGATCAGCAGATCAGATGACGGCGGCTGTCCCAAATCCAGGGGTGAGATGAGGATGATCCAAGACACAAAGCCGGAGCAAGAGGAGAGCGAATCTTCCCAGGAGATTCGTAGGTATACCCTTAAGGAAGCTAAGGGTGGTGATTTGAATTATACCCTCCAGCAAGGCAGGACTCAAGATACATTCCACCTGTGTTGCCCCAACAGAATTAACCTAAATCCCATCACAGAGTTGATTGCCAGTCATTATAGGGAATGACTACTACCAGCTGCCCAGCCAAGTTGATACCTGACCTTAACTACCACAGCACCCCAAACAGGCATGGATAATGGGATTTACAAAACACCACAGAATGGAGGACAGTGGCTAGAAGGGCCACATCAAGCAATTCACTGCAAGAGCATATCACGCCATTGTGTTAAAGTGAGAAAATAATACGTAAGGTACATTACCCAAATTCATTATCCTCAGACTTTTTTGATGGAACCATAATTGCTGATTTCCAGTGATTAAGTAACAGAATAATACTTTATGTATAAATATGCTTTACATTTTTGAGACTTCAGAGAGATAAACTAGATAAAGTGCATGTTATGGTAGCTGACTTATAACTGCTATTAACCAAAATCAGTTCCCTTTTCTATTGTGAAACCCTGTAGAGATAATGTTACTACTCCATTGATTGGTAAAGCTTCTGAAAGTCCTCAAAATACATTTTCCTTTAAAATTTTTTTTCATAGGTTGCTAAAAAATAAAATTAGAGTAGTGGAATTACAAGCCATTTTTTGATATTTGGTTTGCCAAAAACTTGATTATGGTTATGATAGAAATAACATCAAGCAATTTTTATTCATAAGGAACAACCATTTGCATAGTCACATTTACATTATATGGTATTCCTGGCTAATTCTTAATTTTTTTTTTTAAATAGTAACACAGAAAGTGTTTTCACGTGAATTGTATGTTATATCCTTTTAAGGAAGTTTCCCCAAGATCACAAAACACTTGAAGGCAAAGTCAGAACTGGAGATCCTGGATAGAATGGGAGGAAAAATGTGGAACAAACTTCAAAAACACAAAAATGACCAGAATTACTGGTTGGATGGAGTCTGATGGAACCCCCAAGACTATGGCCCCAAGTTAGCTTTTGAGTCTAGACTTGGACTCACTCCCAAGGATTGGCTCTCAGCCCAACAGTAGAAAGACCTACATGCAGAACACCTAACCTAGGGGTGATGCACCCATCTACACTAGGGGGGATACTCCCCTTACAGCAGTTGACCGTGGGGCACCAGAGAGGCAGTGTTCAGATGGAGGGAAAGCTGGACAGACAGGAGTGAAGAGTTAAGAAGGGCACAGGAAGGAGGGTAGCCCAGGGAAGGAAGGGGAAGAGAGTTTGTTATGGTTGGGGATGGTAATCGGGACCGTGAAATCAAATGTGCATGAACTGTTGAATGTGAAACAAATTTTGCTCTGTAAATTTCTACCCAATGCACAATAAAATAATAATAATAAAAAAGACAAAGCCAGAATTAAAAGCCTAGACCTTCCGATTCCTAGTCTAGTACACTTTCTACAGTGTCATACATTTCATTAGGGTCATTAATCTCCACCAATGGCTTTTAAACATTTTTAACTACTGAAAATAGTGAGAAATACATTCACGCTGTAATCCAGTATGCATATGTTTGTATGCCTGCCTGTGAAACAAAAGTTTTACAAATTAATACCTATCTATACTATGTGAGATGCACTATTTTCTGTCTCACTCCATCCCATCTCCTTTCCCATAGTTTAGAAAATTGATTTTCTGAAACATTGATAGGCAACTGTGAAGGGGTGGGAGTAATCAGCTCTGGTAGGGAAGAATATTTTTATCACTGACATAGTTTAGAATTGCTGGTACCTGGTGATAATAGAAAAATTAGATTTAACTTTAAATCAGTTTAAGTGTTATTTTTAAATTCTCCATGGACAGTGCACCTCATCATTGCCTGCACTAGAATAGACCTCTCCCACTGCTCTGCATTTGGTATGCCACTGGGTCGATAGTTTGAAAAACAAGTATTGTGATTTGTATTGAAATGCTGAAGCTTGTATTGAACAGCAAATCCAGTGATTTATTTAACTTCTAAATGCTCATTTTCAGCTGCTATATGGAATTTTCGAATATGTATACTTTAATTTGCATATGGAAAAAGTATACAAAGATTTTTCTGTGCTAGGCCAACTTGGAGAATTTTCATGTGTGGTAAGGAGTGAAAAATAAATATGCCAGTAGCAGTTTGATAATTAAAGAACATGTTTAAGAACAAGCTTTTCATCTTCAGAGATGAGGAATTCGGTAGTTCAGAAGCTTAATGATGACTTAGTGGTTTTGATTATATTATTGCTCAGGGAACTGCATTTGCTTTTTCCAAGACTCATAATGAGATTATAAAATTATTTCTCCACACTTTAAATTGATATCAGAAAAATAACAATTTAATCACTTTTTTGGATTATATTTGATGCTGTATAAAACCCAAAACCCAAGCCCACTGCCATTGAATCGATTTTGACTCATTGTGACCCTATGTAGGGGTTTTGAAGGCTGTAAATCTTTATGGAAGCAGACTGCCTCATCAGAGCAGCTGGTGGATTTGAATTACTGATCTTAGCGTTAACAGCCCAATGCTTTAAACACATCGCCACCAGAACTCTTTTCATATTGTATACTCCCCAACAAAAGTGAAATAAAGCTATAAAATAAAAAAAAGAAAAATCCCCTGTGATCTCACCTACCAGAAATAGCATTGCAGTTAACCTTTTAGTTTATATATTTCAAACTATTCCATAAACCAGTTCATGTTCTTATAAAATGAAATAATACTATAAACCCTTTTTTTTCCCCTCTGTTCCATACATCCACATTATGTTTTAGTGGCTCTATAGCAGGGTTGGAAAACTTTTTATTAAAAGACAAGATGATAAATATATGTGTATGTATATATATGTGTGTGTGTGTGTGTGTATATATATACATACACATAATATATGATTTTTATACATTTACTTCTTTATTGATAAATGTATTTTTTAATTTATTTATTTTTATTTTATTTTATGGGTGAAACTTTACAGAGCAATTTCATTTTCTATACAACAGTTCATACACTTTTGTTTTAGGACATTGATTGCAATGTATTTTATGGAAGTAAAGAAAATGTTTGAAAATATATCATTGGGATAGATATAAAGCAAATGTTTATTATTATTATTATTATTTTATTTTAAGAGCTTGTTTTACATTCAATGTAATGTGTACATTTAGTTTCATTCCCCATTCACCATGTCCAACCCTAACCCAGTCTCCTCCTCTCCCTACCCTATAACCCTCCCCTTGTGCCCCTCATATTTATGCACTCCTGTTTGTCCTGCATTCTTTTGGAGTATTAAGCAGCATTTTATTGAATTTATGGGTTAATTTTGAAGGAATCTTGATTGACATTTTTATAAAATCAAGTCTTCCCAGCCAAATGTACATATGTCTCTTCATTTTTTAATTATTTTTAATTTTAAAAATTTTAATAATATGTACAGGTTAAACAAATATAGTAAAACATTCACCCCTCTATCCCATTCTCCCTCTACAGAAGCAGCAACTACCATTTATTTTTTATATGTTCTCGCAGAGGTAGTCTATGTCTTTTCAAGCAAATATGTGTACACAAATAGTGTAATAGCTGTAACATGCAATCCTAGAGATTGTCATGAAGAGCAGCAGATCCTACTTTTGTGGGACCTGGAGTGAAAACTATTTTGGAGCCTTGTGTAAGAAAATGAATACCAAAATTAGGTACAAAACCAATAGTTACTCAGAATGAAAAAATAAATCACAACAGATTAGTTTTTTGAAAGCTGATAAACACTACAAACATCAGAAAAATCTGGAAAAATTACATTTTTATTAATTTCCTTATATAGTATTTGTTTTAGCTGTATTTTATTTGACTTTGTATGACAGTTTTTTTTATTGTGGTAAATATGTATGTAATAAAATGTTTTCTGTTTCACCAGTCTTCACATGTACAATTTAGTGACATTAATTAAGTTCATTATATTGTTCAACCATCATCCTTATCAGCTCCCAGATTTTTCCATCACTGACACAGATGCTAAGTGTCCCCAAAACATTGAGTCCTCCTTTCTCCTTCCCTCTTACCTGCCTCTGGTAACAACTAAGAAATTTTGGTAGATTTTGTAAGTCATTTCCTATAGAGAGAATAGAAAGCTAATTTGGCTTTTGGTTTCAGTCCTTAGCATATGTTCATGTGAATATGACTTTGTACCTTTGTTTCTCAGTGTTGAGCCTTGTCAGTACAGTGAGAAAGAAGAATATTCCTGGAAGCTATCCTATAAAGACACAGCTAGCAAAAGCTTAAGCATACACAGAAGTAATGAATGGCAAACTATGTAAATACATCTGACTAAATTCACTGATGGTTTCTGTAGCCTAACTTCCTGTTGGCTTCCCTTGATTACAAAAATGCCTTCAGCCACTCCACCACCACCTAATATGAGGAGAAGTCAGAGTGGAAGAGGCAGCAGTCTTAATGGATTATGATTAAAATAGCTTATACTTTGGGATTCCTGGTGTTTTGCTACTTTAAACAATGAGCAGGGAATATCCTAATGTCTGTATGTAAATGTGCAAGTATATCTATTGGATGAATTCCTAGAAGTTAAAATGCTAGATCTAAGAGTACATGCAACTTAGGTTTTTGTAGATACTGCTTAATTACCCTAAAAAAACATAGTGTCAATTAATATCTGCAACAAGCTATGTGAGAATGCCTGTGTCTCCTACTCATGTCAACCTAAACCAAAATCAAACCAAACTCACTGTCATGTAGTCAGACCCAACTCATAGTGACCCCTTTTTGGGTTTCCGAAGCGATATCACTATGTAAGTAGATTGCCCAACCTTCCTTCTGAGGAGTGGCAGCTGGTGGGTTTGAACTGCCAGCCTTCTGGTTAGCAGTCAAATGCCTTAGACACTGCGCCATCAGAGTTCCTCCATGTCAACCTAAGAGGCAAAAAAAAATCTTGATATTTTAATTTGCATATTTCTTGTATGACTGAGGGTTCAGTATCTTCATATATTTAGAAATTGTATGTATATTTTCTTTCCGTGTACCAGCTATTCATACCCTTGCTCATTTTATATTGAGTTGTTAGCTTGCTTTCTTATTAATTTATTGGAACTTTATACAATATATTAAGGAAATTGGACCTCTATCTGTCACATTCCACATTTGGTATTTGTCTTTTTACTCTGTTTATGGTGGTTTTTAATCATGCATAATTTTTATTTTTTATGTACTCAAAAAAAAAAAAAAAACCGGTAGTCTAGTATATTTATCTTTTGTGGCTTCTGAGTTTGTCTCATGCTTGGACTTTTCTCTAAGATAATGAAAAAATTTACTTGTTTTCTTCCAATGCTTTTATAGGTCTTACAATTTTTTTTTTTAACCATTAAATCTTTAATACGTGTTGTGGTTTTGTGCCAATGAGTCATCTCTGACTCATAGAGACCTTACATGCAACAGAAGGAAACTCTGCTCAGTCCTGTGCCATCCTCATGATCCCTACTATACCTGAGCCCATTGCTGCAGCCACCCTGTCAGTCCATCTTGTTGAGGACCTTCGCCTCTTTCATTGACCCTCCACATTACCAACCAAGCATGACATCCTTCTCCAGAGAATGGTCCCTTCTGACAACATGAACAAAGTAGGTGAGTTGAAGTCTGGCCGTCCTCGCTTCCAAGGAGCACTCTAGTTGTACTTCTTCCAGGACAGCTTTGTTAATTCTTTCAGCAGTCCATGGTACTTTCAGCATTCTTCGCTGACACCACAACTCAAAAGCATCAACTCTTCTTCGATCTTCCTTATTCCTTCTTTAATACATATGAGGTTTATTTTGGTATCAGGAGTAAGGAATAAATTTAGCGTTATTCTTTTCTAGATGGCTACACAGTTTTGGGGGTTATTTATTAAGTTATGCATCTTTTCCCCCATTATAATGGGAATTTCTTTTATACTTAGATTTATATTTGGCCCCCATTCTTTTAGATTTTCTTTCATGTTCTAAATACGAAACTTTAGTAAAGATTCATAGTTTTCTTCTTAATGGTTTATGTTTTCCTTGTTAGGTGTATATCTAACTATTTTACACTTTTTATATTGTTGTTGTTATTAGGTGTCATCAAGTCAGCTCTGACTCATAGTGACCCTGTGTACAACAGAACAAAACAATGCACAGTCCTTCTATGCTTGAGCCCATCGTAGCAGCCACTGTGTCAATCCATCTTGTTGAGGGTCTTCCCCTTCTTCTTTGACCCTCTACTTTACCAAGCGTGATGTCCTTTTCCAGGGAAGGGTCCCTTCTGACAACATGACCAAAGTAGATGAGACAAAGTCTGGCAATTTTTGCTTTCAAGGAGCGTTCTGGCTGCACTTTTTCCAGAACAGGTTTGTTCATTTCTCTGGCAGTCCATAGTATTTTCAGTATTCTTCGCCAACACCACAACTCAGAAGCATCTACTCTTCTTTGGTCTTCCTTATTCATTGTCCAGCTTTCATGTGTATGTGCCAAAACGAAACTCACTGCCATCGAGTTGATTCCAACTCATAGCAACCCCCTTTGGGTTTCCTAGACAATAAATCTTTATGGAAGTAGATTGCCCAGTCTTCCTTCCATGGAGTGGCTAGTGGGTTTGAACCACCAATCTTCTGGTTAGTAGTCAAATGCCACACATGCATATGAGGTGATTGAAAATACCGTGGCTTGAAAGTCAGGCACACTTTAGTCTTGGAGAGGTGACATCTTGGCTGTTAAACACTTAAAGAGGTCTTTTACAACAGATTTTCCCAGTGTAATATGACATCTGGTTTCCTAACAGCTGCTTCCATGGGTGTTGACTGTGAATCCAAGCAAAATGAAATTCCTGACAATTTTAATCTTTTCTCAGTTTATCATGATGTTGCTTATTAGTCCAGTTGTGAGGATTTTTGTTTTCTTTATGTTGACGTGTAATCCATATTGAAGACTGTGGTCTTTGATCTTCATCAGTAAGTGCTTCAACTCCTCTTTATTTCAGCAAGCAATGTTGTGTCATCTGTGTATCACAGGTTGTTAATGGTTCTTCCTCCAATCCTGATGCTGCATTCTTCATATAGGCCAGCTTCTCAGATTATTTGCTCAGCATACAGATTGAGTAAGTATGGTGAAAGGATATCACCCTGATGTACATCTTTTCTGATTTTAAACCCTGGAAAAAAATTACAACAGAAAACTGAACTCACTGCTGTCAAGTCAGATCTGACTCATAGCAACCCCTCCTTGGGTTTCTGAGGCAGTATACTATGGAAGTAGATTGCCCAGTCTCCTTCCAAGGAGTGACTGGTGGATTTGAACTTCTGGCCTTCTGCTTAGCAGTGAAATGCCTTAGGCACTGTGCCTTATTTTGTTCGAATGATAGCCTCTTGGTCTGTGCACAGGTTCCTCATGAGAACAGTGAAGTATTTTGGAATTCATGTTTCTCACAGTGTTATCCATAATTTGTTAAAACAAAGGTAGATATCTTTCTCATATTCTTTGCTTTCACCCAAAATCCATCTGACGTCAGCAGTGATAGCCCTCATTCCACATCCTCTTCTGAATCCAGCTTGCCTTTCTAGAAGTTCCCTATCTGTATACTGCTGCAACCGTTTTTGAATTATCTTCAGCAAGATTTTACTTGTGTGCAATATTAATGGTATTGTTTGATAATTTTCACATTCTGTTGGATCACTTTTCTTTGGAATAGGCACAAATATCAATTTTTTCCAATTAATTGGTCAGGTAGCTGCGTTCCAGATTTCTTGGCATAAATGAGTAAGCACCTCCAGCACTGCATCTGTTTGTTGAAACACCTCATTGGGTATTCTGTCAATTCCTGGAACCTTGTTTTTCAGCAGTTACTTCAGTGCAGCTTGAACTTCTTCCTTTAGTAACATTGGTTCTT